TTTGAGACAGAAAAGGCAGTGAACAGATAAGTATAGGCTCATTAGGACAGTCAGAATGGGGAAAGGTTGAAAACTGACATAATTTTAGTCACTTTTCTACTAGAAATGAGATGTGTACAATGCAAAAATAAAAGCCAACATTTTGTCTGTTTGCAAAACAACTAAGTAGTTCACACAATAGTTAGGGGAAAAAACCAGCACCAGTCAAAATAACACTCCGTATCCTGACATAAATTAAAAAATAATAGCATCACCCGATAAATTCTGGTCCTCAACATAATAAAACCTTAGAGGTTTCCCATAAATGTGCATAAAATTGCCTTAAAAGCAATTTTATTTCTGATTCTTCCTGTGCTGATGTTTGGCTGAATGACATGACCAATATGAATACCATCATCATGTGGGAAAGTTTCTGTCTACCCCCAACAAACTAATAGACAGTTGCTAAGCTTCTTAGTTTTCCAGTGTTGCATTTAAATAGTTACTGTGTTTTCTTTGGCCATGCAGGAAGGCTTTTTAACTCCTTTTGCACTATTTTTAAGTTAATTCCTCTACTTGCTCTTTTTGACATTTTTGATGGATTATGCACTGTGGGTGTAGCAGTGCCCACATTTTTCTCTGCCTCTAAAATCTTAAATTCAAGCATCATTCTCTCTACCAAAGCTTTACAATCTTCAACTTCCTCATAAAGCTCTTTCATGTCTTTGGATTTGTATTTAGCAGTCAGAGTCTGTAGTCTTGTGATTTGGTTTCAGCATGTGTTTCCATTCTTGCTTTTTGTATTTTTCATTCTGGAGTGAGATAAAGAGGGAGGACCTAGGTATTTCCCTTCCCTCAGATTTGTTAGGGTCTGCTAAATAAACAGTGCGTTAATCTGTTATAAGGTTTTCATGCAGGCAAGCCTTGCTAAGAACACAGTATTCTGAGCAGGTTTCAAAAGAACAACTCCTTTTTCTCCACTTTGCTGTCTAAGATGGAGAAGATTCTTCATTGTAAGTACCTGGTGGAGGTTTTGGAGCCAGGACCTGAAGAGCTTGAAACCCGAGTGACTGGCTCTTCCAGTTTAAGGACCTGGAGCCTCCAGTGTCTTGCTCATTATAGTTCCGGCTTTCTACTCTTAAAGTGGATCTGTGAAAGATTCAAGATCTGAGTTTCTGCTGTGGTGAGTGCAATGATTCTTTCTATCTTTTCTGTGCGCACAATTTTTGAAGTAGTTTTGTGTACAGTGATGCCGGTTTTCCAACGAATTTAAGAAGAGGTACTGAAATCCAGTGTGGTTAATGTTTTTCTTACCCTGTGGATAAAGAAGATAATGATTTCCTAGCTCCTTCTGTAAGAAACCAAACCAGGAAGTCCAACCTTCATTCCTCTGAGCTTCCTATGTTTGTTTCCTACCCGTCATGTCTCTATTTTCCCTTGCTTCTCTGTCAATACAACATCATTTCAACCATTCACTCCAGAATGAAACCCAAATCCTGGATGATTTCTCCTCTTTGGCCTCTTTCGCAGGACTAGAGAGGAAGTTTGAGTAAAATTTTAAGACTTTCAAGACCTGATAGACCTGTGCTGGCTCATCTATGCATCCACCAGTCATTTAGCACATAACTTAGAAATCTTCCTTTGCCCTTTCTAAGGAAGAGAAAATCTGTTTCCTTTGATCCTCCTATTCAAGGAAAATGGTCTCCTATTAAATGTCTTTCTCTGTCTGCTTATATTTAACTATACCCAGTGGTATCTCAGTTCTTAAACTCAATTGTTTCTGTAATTCTGTTTACAAACTGAATTGAATAATAACAATAAAATTCAGTGGTTAAGTTCAGTGTTGACCTTATGGGAATATTTGATTTGATTCTCTTCCAATTTTATTTGTGACCAGAATTGTGGAAAGAATTAAGTTCTTGAACCAAGTTACCATTACATTTGGCAGCTTAACGTTTGTCTCGAAGCTAGCAATACATTTTTATCTGCTTTGTACAGGTTCAATCTTTACTTTTTTCCAGTTCATTTCTCCAATGACTGATGATTCCAAGAGGAAAATTTAATTGTAGCTTTCCTTCCCCAAATCTCTTTGTTCTTACTTGTATTCAACACATAGTTCTTAATACGAATTGAGTAAGTTTTTTCAAAGCTTTTCATGATTTTGTGTTTTTCTACCTCTTTGACAGTGGCTCTTATCATTTAACTCTTTGCTCTAATGAACTTTATTTGTCACAAATTTTAGTAACTAGACAGTACAATACTTTCATGTCTTAGCAAGATTACATGAGGGGCTGGGGATTTAGCTCAGCGGCATAAGTGCCTGCCTTGCAAGCAGGCAGTCGTGAGTTCAATCCCTGGTAAGGATAAAAACGAAAACAACAACAACAACAAAGATTATATGAGGATTCCTGTATATCTCAAAGATTTAAGGTATCTTCCATACCAATGACCCTTCAAAACTTAGTTCCTTTTTTAGCAGCTCATCCTCTCTTTATCAACACATATTATGCTAAATTTTATTGTTTTATGTGCATGTTTTATTGTTTCCCAGGGGGAAAGAGGCTTTATCTCTTATTTATTACTGTATCCTCAATATCTAGCATAGTGCCAGTCACATAAAATACATATAATGAATATTTATAATGAACTACAAGAGAATGCCATATGGAATTACATAAAACATGATACCAGAGTCTTTCTATATTCTTAGCCTGCTTATGAACTTATATGCTTGTCCTCTTACTATAAACTACAAGCTATTAGGCTCAGTGGATACTGTAAACAGCCAGCATGCAGGTTAAATGTTACTGACAATGTTTGTTTTGGTACTCTCCATATTTGAGAGAAAATGATTTAAGGAGCAAAATTTAGGAGCAGAATTAAAGAGCAAAATATTTAAATTCTATTTCCCAATTTATCTTAAAAATCTTAATACACAAACACTGAACAATTACTTCCAAGATAACAATATGCAATATATTAACCAGTATTGATCTTCTATTATTTGGTTTTGAAATTTTGTATCATCATTTTAATTCTTTTTTGTTTAAAAATAAAAACAAAAAGTTAAACAAAACAAAACACACACACAAAAAAATAACAAAGTAACAACAAAAAACACCAAGAAGGCTTTGTTATCAGTCAGATGAGAGAATCCATGGGCTAATATTTGTGTAGTTATTTACAAACTTGGCATGCTTGGGCAAATTTTTCAATATTTTTAACCCTTAATGTATTTTTTTTTCCTGTGGAATGGATAAAACACCAAGAATTATTGTGACAAACAATATAATTGATTAGATAATATATGCCAAGTGCATTCCATAGTATCTTAACTATTGTGGGCATTCATTCAACAAATTTCCAGACAATTATCATTTAAATCTACATATGTGACTCCCACTAACTGATGAGTTGGCTCAACAATTTAATGAATTTTATATTTTAACAGAGGATCTTTTTATTTCTTCCATCCTTAAGGGATGCTGTCTCTCTGCAGTAGTCACAAATTCCCATTCAGTGAAACACAGCAATATGCTCACATTTTTCTCATTTATTGATTTACTAGTGGGACAGAAAACCTTTCAGTTTCTCTGACTGCCAGGCCACCTACATGAAGAAATTCCAAACTGGATTTTTGAGAATCCAGGTGTTGAGTGCAAAACTTTCAAGGTATGATGTAACACCCATGTAGAGTTTCTCCTTTCCTCTTTTCCCTCAGGATTCATAGACCTCAAAAACCTTGACATTGGTGTGCATTTTCATGTATCCTTTTCAATTCTTCCTTCCCACACAGCACAATGAGTGTACGAATAGTCTATAAGCTTATGGCTCAGGGCAAGTCAGACAGACATCTTTCCTTTCCTCTTTCATTTTCTACAAATTATGAGAAACAAACATATTCTCCTTTCTTTTTATATTTTTCATTATTTAAAACAATGAAACTGAGTCCAAGAGATACCTTGAATCAGTCTTTCCTCACATTGCTGTGGCCTTGGTGTGTGTAAGGGTAGAGAAAACGAGAGACCACATTTACTTCATACAGAAATGTATTACAGAGGAACTGGGAACAAATCATGACACTGATTAACTAGGTTCTATATTAAGCACATCGCAACAGTACTGGGTTATAAGCACAAAGGGAAGAAAGGCCAATTGCTTTACCAACTTTATAAAAGGGGAGCTGTTCCTTTTACAGAAGTAAATTAGATACCCTGGGAGAGAAAACACATCTCACAGAGAAACATTGCCCTCAGAGCTTTCAAACATGAATTCTTAAAAAACCTTTATTATCCTGGCTTGTTTTGCTACTCTCTGTCTTGTTTCCAATTCATTTTGGGCAGGGCCTACAGGCCAATAAAGCAGCAAACCACCAGATTTATGGCCTTAGAATTGTTTATGCTAGGTAAGAAGAGAACCCATAAATTGATTTTTTCATATTGATTATTAGTCAGCCTTGCTTTACTTTCTGTATTTCTCTTACTTAATCTTCTTTTTAATATTTTTCAGAGCCAGATCTAACAGAGTTGTCCAGATGTATTATTCCAACAGTTTTAACAATGCACTAGGTACAAAGCCTATAACCCATAAACATTTAGAGGAGCAAACTACATCCAAATCACAGCACTAAAGCTTGTAGGGTCTAGGTTTAACAGAAATGGTGGACTTTTGTGATTACCATTAAGAATGAAGGTTAACCAATGCCTTGGGATTTAATAGAAATAAACTAATAAGATGCAAGAATTCAGGAAAGACATATAGCAAATACCATTCTTATTACTGAAATTCCGTTATATAACTTGGGAACATTTATGAAACTACTACAGAGTAACAGAAAGTTTTGAAACAAGTGAGAGAATTGCAGGTCATTGTAGTATCTGTTTGAAGTTAACACCATAGATTTATAAGACTTGCTTGTATTCACTGGCATTTTGGTCAAATGAGACTAAAACTAAATACTTTTTCATAGTCTCTCCTTTTATTTTGCTGGATAAAATTTTATTTACATAAAAGCAAGAGAGAAATATTACTTTGAGGGGAGTCTAATACTATAATAATTAGACAATTAAGTACATAATATCAACTTTTGTTTGTTGGGATTTATGCTGCTCTATATTTAGTGAGTGATGTTGTAACTCTGGTAAAGTAAACAGATGAGAAACTGGGAAGTTTGATCGCTTAATATCAGAGTTCTGTTCAAAACAGACTTGTTTTAGAAGATAACTCATTCATCAGCTGCTGAATATGTGACCAAGCATGTTTTGAGAAGAAGAAATTATCAAAGTTCTGGGGGCTCCTACTACTACCTCAGAGATTTGAAAAAAGGCTAATTTTTTATCTAATTTTTTGGGAAGGCTGGTAAAGGAAGAAATAGGTACTTTGTATTAGAGTATTACTCATGCAATATTTGGGCTATTGATGTAAACTAGTATATTACATACGATAAGAGACTTCATACAGATATATAGTTAGGAGGATAAAATTATTTATTATAGCATTGTACTGCACATCATTGAAGTTATTATTTTGACTCACTTAAGAGACTTCTGAGGTGTACAGTTGAATTCTCCATCTCACTCATCAAAGAAAGGTGTAGCACATACAACAACCCTGGATGTAGTGATGTGAGAACAGAGGCAGAGTTTCCCTACAGCTCCAGTAGTGTAGTATAAGAATAAACATCACAGAGGCTGGGAACAGTACTTAATGGCACAAGCGACTCCTAGCAACCACAAGTTCTTGAGTTTGATTCTGAAGAAGAAGAAGAAGAAGAAGAAGAAGAAGAAGAAGAAGAAGAACAATAAGAAGAAGAAGAACAACAACAACAACAACAACAACAACAAGAACAAGAAGAACAACAAGAAGAAGAACAACAACAACAACAACAACAACAACAAGAACAAGAAGAACAACAAGAAGAAGAACAACAACAAGAACAAGAACAAGAACAAGAAGAATAAGAATAAGAACAAGAACAAGAACAAGAACAAGAAAAAGAAGGAGAAAAAGAAGAATAAGAAGAACAAGAACAAGGAGAAGAGGAAGAGGTAGAGGGAGAGGCAGAGGCAGAGGTAGGAGGAGAAGAGGAAGAGGAGGAGGAGAGGAGGAAAGAAGGAAGGAAAAGAAGAAGGAGAGGGAAAGGGAGAGGGAGAGAGAGGGAGGAGAAGGAGAAGAGGATGAGGAAGAGGAGGAAGGAAAGGAAGAAGAGAAGGAGGAGGAGGAGGGAAACATCTGTGTACATGAGTGCTGACTGCAGGAGTTGCTCTAAACTGGGTTGAGTTAAAGGTCTAAAACACACAGGGGAAGTGGATCAGGTAGAAGGGATTGCCTTCAGCCTGTGTGCTGCCTGTATTTTTCACTTCCCACGAGAAGGAGAAGTTACTAATTTGACCTAACAGAGTCTCTAGTATGTTGGGAAAAACAAGTCTCTGGTATGATGTCTGTGCATCCTAGCAGTGATGTGGCCTAAAAAGTCACACACTTGCCTACCACTCTGTCTGTAGTTCTCATCATAAGATTCAGCTGACAAGCTTCTTTTTCCTCACTATGGATGCGTAAGTACATTCTTCATTCCACTGGATTCCTCAGCCACACATCAAGTCAAAGATGTAACACTAAGTAACTTGCTTTGGAGGGAAGCGGCCTGAATCAGATCATCGCCATCATCTACATGATCTACATAAAGTTTTACATAAAGTCTTTGACCATAGCTTAATAAGATACCTTGTGAACTTGTTTCCAGTTTAGCTAGTCTTCCTTATATGCCTAGTTCTCTTTAGGAACTTATTTCAGCAAGGCTAACCGGGAAGGCAGTATTATTCAGTCATAATCGCGTGCCTTCCCAATTCCAGACACTCCAAAAGCTGTTTATGTTCTTCATAAATTTATATTCTTAAGATCCAGGCTCTAGTGTACCTATTCTTTAATATCATATTTTTTCAATGACTCCCAGAGAAATATCTGTGGCTCTATCCTACACTAGGGACAGTGACCAGATACCATGAATTAAAAGTACAAACCAAAGCAACTCATTACCAAAGCAGAGGGTTATTTAAAGTTTGTTAAAATAAAACATCATTCGAAAAAAACCCGTGATCATTATGCAAGTACAAGATACATTCAATTTGTTTAAATAGACTGTTTTCCAATCTACTTAGTTTTGAGTAAAATTGATTAGGCAAAAAAGGTAGGGATTCAGATTTTGTAATCAGACAGCAAGAGCCAGAAATGCAGTTACCTATCTACTAGCCAAGTGATCCTGGGAAAATTAGTGAAACTTTCAGTGTGTATTTTCTGTATCCATAGAAAAAATGAGAAAAATTTCTGCCTCAGTGGTTTAAGCTGAGGGCAAATGCATCGTGAATGACTTAACAAAGTATGTCAACATAGGAATGTTATAATCCCTCCTTCCTTCATCATTCATACTTTCTTCCTTCCTTCCTTTCTTTCTTTCTTTCTTTCTTTCTTTCTTTCTTTCTTTCTTTCTTTTTTCTTTCTTTCATTATTCATTTGTTTATTTCCTTTATTTTCAGGAGTAGGTAGGTTCTATTTTGAGATACATGAATGCAGCACTGAAGGCCATTTCTGGAAGGTTTATGCTGTTTACCAGGTCCTTCCTTTTTATGCACACACATAGTGCTTTATTCTACATCTGGTTCAAAAAATGAAGCTGAAAGACACTTTCCCAAGTTGCCTTTTTCTGGGGAAACAGACTCACAGTTTGCTTTCAGTTTAAAAAAATACTTTCTTGCTCTGGACTGTTCATATGTTGTTGGGAGCCGCAGCCCCGAGCCCGGTCGCCTTACTTGGCGGACGTGAGGCCTGTAGGAAAGAGCAAAGCCTGAGCTAGATTACCCCTCCCATCGAGTGTGCTAAGATGGCGCTTATCTCCTGCTTCCTGCTTGGTAAACAACCCGCCCTGTAAGATCTCCTGCTTCACAACCCGCCCTGTAAGATCTCCTGCTTCACAACCCGCCCTGTAAGATAGTCTGCCTAGCAACAACTGAACCCTATAAAAGTGAATGCCTCTCCCGCCAAGAAAAGAAGAAGAAGCAGAAGAAGCAGAAGAAGCAGAAGAAGCAGAAGAAGCACAGAAGGAGCCGCGGAGAGCGGACCGGTAGAGGCTTCGGGACAGACTGTAGGGAGAAGCACGCAAGGAGCCGCGGGGAGCGGACCAACAGAGGCTTCGGCCGGGAGGATTCCCGGGGCAGGCTGTACGGAGAAGGAAAATAAAAGAAAAGGTTGTCCACTGCCAGACTTTGTTGTGTGTCCTTCCTGCCGGCCGGGAGTGACACCGACATCTGGTGGCCCGTACGGGGAGCTGATCACCCCCGAGACGTGGCAGTGGACAACGCTCCAACGCAGAGCTGCAAGACAGGTGAGTAGAGGATAAACCTGGGCCCTGGGTGGCGCGCACCTACAGAGTTTGTAGACTCCTCTCAGGCTCACGCGTAAGTGGCGGATTCCTTGGGCCTCACGCGGTGAGTAACATATTAAAAAATGGGAAACATGCTAGGTAACGGCACTAAGAGTGAGGGTGGTTGCGGGGAAAGCTCTCAAGAGCTTACAAAAGTATGCAGGGTATTTGAGCAGGCCCAGTCAGGGAGCTCCCGAGAGGGGTCCGTCAAGGGGAACAAAGATGCTAAGGAGGAGGACGGGGCTCAAGCCTCGGAGTCGTCTGACTCCGAGGACGAGGGAAAGTTGAATGGTGAGGAGGCCAAAGAGACCAGCTGTCAGGGGCCTAAGTCGCTTGATGGGGAGACGCAAGGCTCTTTCGCTGCGTTGCGCCGCGAATTGCGCTCAGCTCAGCTAGGCTTACGAAAAAGCAGAGAGCTTCTGAGCGCCCCCTGGCAGGGGAGGGAGACAGAACCTTCTGCTCCGCCCTGGAACTTGTTCCCGGAAGCGGTCCCTCGCCGCGAGGCCGCCGCATGGGAACTCCCCCCTCTTCCGTCAGTACAGGAAATAACGCACAGGCCTCCATTTTCTGTTCAGCCACGGCCGCCATCTTACGATGCTCCGCCACCGGCGGGACGTTATTTCCACAGACAGCTGTGGCATGGGGGTCGTGTGTCTAATGAAGACCACCCGTTCCCAGGGATAGATAGCGGCCCCTATGGGATATATCCTGTACAGATGGCCATGGGTCAGGGACGTAATGCATGGGAGCCTTTTGAGATAAAGCAGATTAGAGAACTTAAAAATGCAGTTACAACCTTTGGGCCGACTGCGCCTTACACCATTGCCATGCTGGAGAACCTGTCTTCTGGGCCCCTCACCCCCGCGGACTGGATTCAGCTGGCAAAGGCGTGTCTGCCCTCGGGTAGTTACCTGGATTGGCAAGCCTGGTACACAGAGTTCTCTGCCGAGCAGGCTGAGAAAAACGCCGGTCGAGGAAATGGGGGCTGGAGGTTTAGCTCAGCGGCATAAGCGCCTGCCTTGCAAGCAGGCAATCGCCAGTTCGATCCCTGGTACCAATAAAAAAAAAAAAAAAAAAAAAGATAAAAATAAAAAATAAAAAATAAAAAACAAAAAGGGGGAGTAGGCCAAGGCCTGGCCCCAAAGGCACGATTATCTATGGCACTGTTCACATACAATTTTTTAAATTTAAACAATAATAGCCGCTCACCAGCTATGGAGCATTCTAGTCCATCTCCTAGCAATAAGGGATGGGTTAAATGGAAAGATGTCCTAACAGGACAATGGATGGGCCCGGATCCGATGGTTAGCTGGAACCGAGGCGCGGTTTGTGTTTTCCCACAGGAACCGGGACGAGAACCACTGTGGGTACCGGAGAGACTGACACGGGCAACAAAGCCCTCGACTGAAGATCAGACCTGCCCTACCGGAGATCCATCACAGACCAACCAACAAGATGAATAGAAATAGCGGTAGCCCAAAATGGACAAAAAGATCCTCAGGCATATGCATGGCTCGCTCGCCCAGCCTACGACCGAGTCTAGGGGCGGTGAGCTTCCCACACTCCTCCTCTAAAAAATTATGACATAGCTGGGTAGGAGAGTCAATGACGGGTAAGAGCATACTCCCCCGGTGCGACTCAACCTAAGCCAGGCCCTACCCCATCCTGCACGTAAGCCGCTGGACTGTTAGATGCTGCCCAGGTCTAAATTTCTCTCCGAGGGGATTTCTTTACGGAAAGGAAATGAGTGCAAGCTTGTGTGCATCCAGGTTCCATCCAGTTTGTGCCTGGCCCTAGAAAAAGGACGAGGGCCTCAGGGCCTTGGCAGACCATGGCACGGCCGACCAGGGTCTAAGCCAAGGACCTACGGTGGGCCTACGCATAGGGCATAAGCCTCTGCACCCAGTCCAGGAAGGGCTACGATGCGCACATTCATAAAAAATAAAAAAGGGGGAGATGTTGGGAGCCGCAGCCCCGAGCCCGGTCGCCTTACTTGGCAGACGTGAGGCCTGTAGGAAAGAGCAAAGCCTGAGCTAGATTACCCCTCCCATCGAGTGTGCTAAGATGGCGCTTATCTCCTGCTTCCTGCTTGGTAAACAACCCGCCCTGTAAGATCTCCTGCTTCACAACCCGCCCTGTAAGATCTCCTGCTTCACAACCCGCCCTGTAAGATAGTCTGCCTAGCAACAACTGAACCCTATAAAAGTGAATGCCTCTCCCACCAAGAAAAGAAGAAGAAGCAGAAGAAGCGGAAGAAGCAGAAGAAGCAGAAGAAGCAGAAGAAGCACAGAAGGAGCCACGGAGAGCGGACCGGTAGAGGCTTCGGGACAGACTGTAGGAAGAAGCACGCAAGGAGCCGCGGAGAGCGGACCGGTAGAGGCTTCGGGACAGACTGTAGGGAGAAGCACGCAAGGAGCCGCGGGGAGCGGACCAACAGAGGCTTCGGCCGGGAGGATTCCCGGGGCAGGCTGTATGGAGAAGGAAAATAAAAGAAAAGGTTGTCCACTGCCAGACTTTGTTGTGTGTCCTTCCTGCCGGCCGGGAGTGACACCGACAATATGTGTTTCATTTTTAAAAATTTCTCCAGATTTATCCAGGTCTTACAGCTATTTCTTGTGTCCAGGATACAGAGACGAATTCTAACACACAGCGACAGCTGGAGAGTTTTGCATTTTCCTTTGGGAGACCCCATTGGTCGGTGAAACTGAAAATGAAGACGTTTTAGACATTTCCCTCAGGTGCTTCTCCACGATCCTTATGACTAGTTTATTTGCTCATGCTGTTTGAGCAGAGGTCTGTTAACACAGTGATTCCAAAACATCTGGGGGAAATATTTAGATACAAGAGGTTGCAGGAGTAGCTTTTATTGTTATTAATGAAACTGGCTCACAATTTGGCACCAAATCTTATGCCTGCTGAGTGCTGTATATAGATAGTAATGCCTGATTGCCACAGATATAACTAGTCCCAGAATTCACTGCCAATTAAAATAATAAATAAGTTGTGCAAGCTAGAGAGATTAGATGGGATGATAATTGTCCTCCCCACCCAGATAAACGAGAGACTGGATGAGACAAAGAAGAGAATTACAGAGATATATGTATTCCTCTCCCACGGTACCATTTTCATTTTGCTTTATATACACTACAATGAGTTAAAGAGATTTAGTCACAACACAGTAATAGCCACCACCTGAGGTGTTCTCATCCTTGCAGGCCACAGACAGTAGCTTTCTTGTACTTCTGAGTTCCTGTCTGCTTATGTGGGAACTGAGAGGTGGAATTACTTCATTGTGAGATAGAAGAGAACATTAGTTTTGTCCTGTGAGAGAAACTCAAAAACACTAAATCACTTCAACACATAAATGAAAAAAAAAAAAAAAAAACACAACTCCTGGGAAATTCCATTTTAAATTGAGAACAATGGAAGTGAGCATTGTTTTTTAAAAATAACACCAACATAATATGACTATAGTGCTTACAATGTACCACTAAATATTCTAGAAAATAACTTGTAAAGTTTTAATGTCTCATGTTATTTATCTAGTAAGCACTAATATTTTCATGAAGATTAGAGAATTTAGTTACATTACTTCAGATAACAAAATTCAGTGGCTATTGTCCATAAGTTCAAATCGTGTCTATTCTGAGATATTCATTTAATAACCTAATGTGGCAGATTTTGATGAGCAGATGTGCAGTGTTTTATGAAGAAAATGATCGAGGCGCTTGTTCAAAGTGTTACCGATTGGTGAATGTCTGCTTTTTACTACCTGAATTAAATGCAGTACTTAGGAAACTTGAAATAGAGAGCAGTTAGAATTTAAACTGCACACATATAATTTTGTATCATGCTATACTCAGTTATTTATGTATGTACTATTTCTCTCTACAGAGAGAGAGACAGAGAGAGAGAGAGAGAGAGAGAGAGAGAGAGAGAAATGCACACATGCACACACAACCTTGAGTTGCTAACTAGGGCACAAAATATTTATCTTTGTATTTCTATGCATATATTTTATCTATATTTTATTTTTTAGAAACACAAATGTTAAATGACTTATTAAAGAGAAAGGGGGTGAAGCATCTCATTGAAGACCTATGCTTGCTAGAAGAATTGCAGTTCATTTTAAAGGTATGATTAATCCAGTTTCAAAGACAGGTGATAAAATTTCAGAGAATTTCTATAATTGTAGAAAGTTACTCAGTGCCCAGTAGACCTGGGACAGTGATCTACTTTTGTTACATGCTTATTATGCAACACTAAGCCAAGGGTCTAGCCTATGTTTTTCCTGCAATATAAGATTGAACAAGGAAAATTTTTCCAGCACTGACCTTGCATGTTGTTAACTTATTTCCAACTCTCTTTATAAATGAACAGACAATGCTAAGCATGCCCAACTCTCTAAGAAAAAACGTAGAGAGGGAAAAAAATGTTCAGGTGAGGGTGGATGATAGATTTGTTTAGGTCCTATTAGGTTTTAGGCAAATGCATCCCATGACAGGCTCATAATGTAGGAGCAAATAGGAGGCAGAGATGGAACTTTTGACAATGAACTCAAAGGTAGCAGTTAAGCCTTGGGAGTCATGGAGTCCTTGATGGCGAAAATATAGGCTAAGTGAATTTTGAGATTATTATTTAGGGGATAAGATGAAAAAGAAATGTGAAAAGAGTTTGAAAAGATAAAAAGTCAGATACAAGAGCATTAGAATATAAGAGCTGAAAGTGCTTCAAGAAAGAAGCTTTCATGTATTAAAGTGCACTAAAAGCCAAATACATTTGGGTATGATGGAGACTGAGGCAGGAGAATTACAAGTATGAATCCAGACTGGGACACTCTAGTGAGTCAAGGCCTGTTTGTACTACATAGTAAAAACCTTTCTCGTAAAAAGAAAAAAAAAAAAAAAAAAAAAAAAATATATATATATATATCTGTTGCATAAGTCAACCGGAAGTTCTGATTCACCCATCACTTAGCTATTTTGAGGGTTTGGGGTTAGATCAGAGTAGCTGATGGACATGTTATTTGAAAGAATTTTTATTTAAGTACATCGTTAGAGAACACTCAAGTAAACATCGCTAGGGTATACATAATGCGAATGGATTGTATTGGATATTATGAAAGACAGAGACTTTGCACTCTTTTACTCTGAATTGTTTCACTTTCTGTAATTACCATCACCTCATACATTACATGGATTTTGTTGTTTACTGCCACATTATGAAATACAACCTCATGAAAGGAAGCAGTTTATTTCAGTACTATACTATCTTCAATTTCTATAACTGGGGTTTGTCAAATCAACACTCTTGTTATAAATAACATTTATTTGAATACTGTCATGCCTATTCACATTACCTATAGCTACTTTAACAAAGTTGAATAAGTATGACAAAAGATCACACAGCCCACAAGCTACTATATTTACTGCAGGACTTTATAGGACTCAAAACTTTTAGTTACTATCCAAAGTAATATTTGTACTTAAGGCCTGCTTAGTTACTGTAATGACAAATGAAAACACTTACAATTCAAGACACTGTTTAGCCTTTATTGGCAAGTTCACTTCACATTTCTGAGTTTTATATCATCATTTCTAATATATCTAGTATATCAAAAGAAAGAATTAAATGAGCTCTTTGTATTTAGTAAACAATAAAATTAAATACAAACAAAAGAAACTTGTCCATTCTTTCCATCTCCTGTCCTGTGATGCTCTGTGAAGGTGATTTTATGCTCATTACCTGACTCCTTGTGTACTGCATGTTACCTCCAGATGTTCTGCTTACAGTTACACTGTTCAGCAACTTGAAGACAACAGAATGATACCAATTCACCCAAATGAGACATGATTTCTTTTCCCCAAAACAAATAATTGTGTGACTTGCACTGCTCAATACTGACAGAACAAGAGGGCCTGAGGAAATTCATAGGGCTCCAGCTATGAAGTCACTCTATTCACTTAAAGTCATTATATCATTGTTAGCTTAATTAAATGATAGCTAAGAAATAGTGGATAACAAAGAGCCATTGCACAGACAAAAATACTAAGAGTGATTCTTTAAGACAGAGACTTTAACCACTCATCATTCTAAAAGAATATTTCGTTATTTGTTCCTTTTTCTGCAATGAAGTATAAAGCATACCATTCACTCTAGCTATCCAGAGCTTTTATGTTCTTGTCCTGTGTGTGTGTGCATGTGTGCCTCTGTTAAGGTTGTGGCTTTCTTTTATTGTTTTCACATTTCCTTCCCTCCTTGCTCCTTTTGTTTCATTTTATTTATGGATGTTGGATTCCAAATGAGGAAGTTTATTTTTAAAGTCACTTAGCTTTTTAAATAAAACTAGTACTGAAAGCTATTAGAAGCTTTGGTTCTTAAACATACACACAGGGAGACATGTTCAATTTTATCTTGAAAACGGATTGGAACATTATAATTGAAGCATTAGACTTTGCAATAACTAAGTACAAGGAAGGAAAATAGACAAATTTTCAGAAAGATTTAGGAAAATTAGAACAGCACAAGAGCGAGTTAGAAAAATAAGGATTTTGTTAAGTAAATGTGTCTAGCTCTTTATATTTTAGGCTACAAATGTCTTTGTTTTCTGATGAAATCTCAAATGACACATATTTCATGGCACATACCTTTCTTCGATATCAAGTCCTTCCAAAATTATTTTAAGAAACATATAATATTCTGCATTTTATACTAAAATTGAAGCAGTGCAGAATTGATTGAGAACAACCTAATATCATCTTGAACAAAGCCCATTATATTTCTTCAAATGTTTTCAAACTTTGAGTTCTGTTCAGTTCATGACAAAGGCATTTATTTAAATTTAAATGACATGTAGAACAAGGAATAGTTTGCTAAGAAAATTTTAGATAATACATTTTATTCCTTTGTGTTTCAAAATAAATAAATTGCCTTCATAAACTGAACTTTGTGTCTTATGAAATTGCGACCTAAAGTCCTATGTAGTTCATTTTTTTTTTTGTTTGTTTGTTTCTGAATGTTTAGAGACTCAGTACAGAAACGGGGTGCTACTTGCAAACATTTTTATCTAAATAAAGTATCTGAGGTATAGAATTTTTTTCACAATAAATGGAAAATATTTTATTTAAAGATGCTTTTGTTTTATCTAACTGTGGATTTTAATTGGTAGAGACAGATTGGTGTGTTAATTTTAATAAAATTCATAATTCATAAAAATGTTAGATATTTAAAATTTAAAGAACTTAAAGAATTAGTCTCACCTTTATGATCATCATTACTTGGTTTTCAGTTTTTTTTTTTTTTTTTTTTTTTTTTTTTTTATGTAGAACAGATGTTGCCAAGTAGTCTCTTCAGTCAGACTAGGTGAGTTCAAATCCTGCTTCTGTTTTAGGTTGGTAAAAGTATCTGCTCTGAACTGCAGTTTAGAGCCTTTTTAAATGAGTGTAATAGCATAGACCACCACCTAAAGTTATGAAAATTACAGAGATCACTTCATACAAAATAGATAAGGC